AAAATACACTCGGCAATGGCATATTTTAAATATCACTGAACTTTTTTTTAGAACCCTTTTGATTACTTTGCAGTTAAATGCTGTTGTGACACCCTCGTGTACTAGTTGATTTGATATAAGAATTGGTTAAAATCCTATATATCTGTAAAGAAATTTAAATGCTAAATTGAAATTAATTGACACTTTACTGGTGAAGTTAATTTAGGATCATCTATTAATTGAATCTTGTCATTGATTTGAAACATGTAGATGAAGTACCACAAAAAGAAAGAAAAAATGAATAAATAGAGATATTTTAGTTATAAGAATTGGTTAAAATCCTATATATCTGTAAAGAAATTTAAATGCTAAATTGAAATTAATTGACACTTTACTGGTGAAGTTAATTTAGGATCATCTATTAATTGAATCTTGTCATTGATTTGAAACATGTAGATGAAGTATAGGGCTGTGCATTGCCATTTTTTTCTGTCACGATACGTAGCACGATATTTGTTTTTCAAAACGATGCGATTCACGATATGTATTGCATACTTTGAAGAAATGCGATGCATATTGCGATTCTTATGTTGCGATGCGATACGTATCACGATACTGACTTTCAGACTTAGTATATAAAAATTTGGCCATTTGTTTACAGCATAATTATGAATATTATACAAAACTATTACAATAACAAAAAAATAAACTCTATCTTGTTGTTACAACTTGGTTTCCGATTTTGATCTTTTAACAATTTACTTTTCTGATTACTTAAGGATTAAAGGTATTGTTAATTATACCAAAACAGCAAACTGATATCTACTATTCTAACACTAAAGTCCACTACTGTAAATATGGCAGTTTAACATTTCAGTCTTACAATACACCACTAAAGATTTTTCTTGTGAAAAAAAAAAGTAACAAGTGGTTAACAAATAGGTCAACAACTTTGAAAATAACAGTTTATCCGTTTCACTCTCAGTTGTCTCGAAAGATTTGTGCCCAGAGTATTATTTTTTTTGAGTTTGCAAATTTTGCAAACACTCGACGTCCGGTCTTCCACATTATACATGTTCCCAAAACTCGTGAATTATATGACAAAGGAGGATTGACTATAGTTTCCCTTTCTAATTTTTTTGTAGTCTACATGTTTTCTGTTTGTTTGTTTTGTTGTTTTTTTACGGGAAAATGATGTCAACGGAAATGAAAGTATAAATACGTGACGAATATCACATGGGAATGTTGTCATCATCACTATTTTAATCCGACATCAAGTGCGACTAAATAAAATTACAAATTCATGTTTTTAGGTTGTTTTTTTCTTGAAAACGCATAGATCTCTAATTATTTTTTAATTATAAACAAGTTCAAAGAACACCAGCCCATTTATATGGAATTGATAAAATTTGGTTAGTTACCGTTAAATGATTGCGGACATGGGGAAACAAGATGACAACGATGATATGATAATAGTCGCGCTTGTTCATTGTTTTCATCCAAGCCTGTTTTCTTTCTTCAGTCTTTCAAAAAAGACGTTTGTTCTTATATTCCTAGATATTGTTAGTGTATTGCGATACGTTCCCGCTATATCGATACATCGGGAGATGAAATTTGTATTGCATCGCAATATATTGGCATTTGTAATTTCATTACGATGCATACATCGAGGACAGGGCAGATCGCGATGCATCGATGAATCGTTACACCTCTAATGAAGTACCACAAAAAGAAAGAAAAAATGAATAAATAGAGATATTTTAGTTATAAGAATTGGTTAAAATCCTATATATCTGTAAAGAAATTTAAATGCTAAATTGAAATTAATTGACACTTTACTGGTGAAGTTAATTTAGGATCATCTATTAATTGAATCTTGTCATTGATTTGAAACATGTAGATGAAGTACCACAAAAAGAAAGAAAAAATGAATAAATAGAGATATTTTAGTTATAAGAATTGGTTAAAATCCTATATATCTGTAAAGAAATTTAAAAGCTGAATTGAAATTAATTGACACTTTACTGATGAAGATAATTTAGGATCATCTATTAATTGAATCTTGTCATTGATTTGAAACATGTAGATGAAGTACCACAAAAAGAAAGAAAAAATGAATAAATAGAGATAGAGATATTTTAGTATTTTCTTTATATCTTATTTTTTTAAATCAATTAACAATTATCTGTTGTAAATATGTTATGTGTTCCTTATTAGGGCATGCATGATGATTTAATGTCTATATTTAGGGCATGCATGATGATGTTATGTCTATATTTAGGTCATGCATGATGATGTAATGTCTATATTTTGGGCATACATGATGATGTAATGTCTATATTTAGGGCATACATGATGATTTAATGTCTATATGTAGGTCATCCATGATGATGTAATGTCTACATATAGGGCAAACATAATGATGTAATGTTTATATTTAGTGCATACATGATGATGTAATGTCTATATTTAGGGCATACATGATGATTTAATGTCTATATGTAGGTCATCCATGATGATGTAATGTCTACATATAGGGCAAACATAATGATGTAATGTTTATATTTAGGGCATACATGATGATGTAATGTTTATATTAAGTGCATACATGATGATGTAATGTCTATATTTAGGTCATACATGATGATGTAATGTCTATATTTAGTGCATACATGATGATGTAATGTCTATATTTAGGTCATACATGATGATGTAATGTTTATATTTAGTGCATACATGATGATGTAATGTCTATATTTAGGGCAAACATAATGATGTAATGTCTATATTTAGGGCAAACATAATGATGTAATGTTTATATTTAGGGCATACATGATGATGTAATGTCTATATTTAGGTCAGCAGAATGGAAGAAAGTTAGTGACAGTCAGAAGAAAGACCTTGGCCTGACATTTGATGACAATGGAGAGTTTTGGTATAATTGTTTTCTATACAAGAATATTTAAGTAATTTATTCTTACTTTTCACCAGGAATGCTAAACTCTTAAAAATGGACACAACCTGTTTGAACTTAGACCTGATAATATTTAAGTTAATGGATTTCAATATCAAATTGTTAGATTATGTGACCAATAAAGTGTATAGAGTCTTGTTATTAAACTATATAGATGTGCAGAATGGCTGCTTTAAAATGGTTGAATTTTCAACACGGGTTCAGACAGTAACTTAAATTAAAAGTCTGATGTGTTAATTACTTGACTACTTTCCACCGCATATTATTGTATCATCGGGTACATTTTAGCTAGTCATTGTGGCTAGAAAACATTTTGTCCTAAAACCTGGGGACATAATATTAGATGATAAGGAGAGGTTATTCAAAATAATATTTATTTGTGCAATTGAGGCTGCGTGTTAAAACATACTCTAAAACTATGTTATGTTTTAGCTTAAGTATAATCTCTATATTTTATTCTGTCAATATTCAGGATGTCGTACGAGGATTTCTGCCACTACTTTACAAGCATGGACATCTGTCATATGATCAACATGTCATTTTTCTCCTTCAAGAAAACTTGGCGGGAAGGGAAAGTGAGCGGTACCTGGAAGAGACCAGATCGGGCTGGCGGTTGCGGGAACCACTCTACATTCCTGAATAATCCTCAGGTGAATTAATTAACTATGCTTATATTCATGTTAAGTTTAGTGGTATTAACTGGAACAGTTTACTGTTATTATATGGTAAAAGTGTAGTTCATTTAAATGAAGTAGGCAATAATTTGTTAAACATATTTATTCTAGATTGATAAAAAAACATAAATCTTTTCAGTGCATATTTGATACCAAAGAATAAATATGTAATTACAGTAAAAAGACAAGGATAAATCTTTAGTCTTGTACAGAATCTATTGGACATAAATAAAGAAGTTAAATGATATTAGGGTGTCTTTAAAGAAACATTATACAATTTTATGTACTATTTCACCTTACATAGGCATCACAGAGGTTTCAGAAGAAAACATGAGTATTTGAACAACAGGATAAATATGATGTTTTTACAATATATAGTTGATATAACAGAGGTTGAAAATGAAATTATGGAACTTAAAAAATATTTTTATTTTTTTGACATGTGAATTTAAGACATCACAACTTGAATAAAGAGGGAAGCATGCTTTTTTTCAAAACAACAAGATAAATAGGTTATTATATAACAGTACATATGAGGATAATATTTTCTTGTATTACACAAGAACAACAAGATAAATATTTTCTTATACCGGTATTACTGTAGAGGAGCAACAGGATAAATATGTTCTTATATTACTGAAGAACAGCAGGATAAATATGTTCTTATGTTACAGTAGAACAACAGGATAAATATGTTATTATATTACAGTACATAAGAGGATAAATATGTTCATATATTTCATAAGAAAAACAGGATACTACTGTATGACAACAGGATAAATATGTTCTTCTATTTCATAAGAAAAAACAGGATAAATATGATCTTCCACTACAGTTAGACAAAATGATAAATATGTTCTCATATTATGTTAAACAACAGGATAAATAGTTTATTTTATTTCAGAAAAACAACAGGATAAATTTGTTCTTTTATTTCATAAGAAAAACAGGATAAATATGATCTTACACTGAAGTAAGACAACATGAAAAATATGTTCTCATATTACTATAAACAACAGGATAAACAGTTCTTAAATAACTGGAAACAGGAAAAAATATGTTCTTATATAACAGAAGAACAACATGATATGATTAATATGCTGCTATATTTCAAAAGAACAACATAATAAATATTTTCTATATTACAGTATATATTTGACATCACGGAGGATGAAGAGGAAATCATGGCGTCTTTAGAACAACAGGATAAGCGTGTAGATAAAGGGAAGGATAATTATACCATTGGATTTACTATATTGCGGGTATGTTCAGTATTAAACTGATTTCATTTCAATGATTCTTTAAAAAAAAAATTCAGATTGTTAAAGGAACTCCACTCCTTTTTGTCATGAAAGGACTGAAAATATTTTTTTTCAAGACTTATTTACTTTTTGTAGATCTGAATAAGTAACTTAAATGCAAAATTTCCGATCATTCCCTCACTCTGTTTTCTTTTAATTATTATTTCAACTAAGCAAATAAAACATAAAATGAAAAGTATTGAAATGCTTTTTACTCATACAGGCCTAAAAAATGTGCAAATTTTGATTTCCAATGTAATTGTGCGTTTATTTTTTCAATCTTTTGCAGATATTTCCATTTTAAGTGCATTCCTTGATATATGCAAGAATTTCAAATTTTATGTTCTGAGGCATCTTGACCTCAGCAGAGTGCCTTAAAATAGTGTAATTTTCATTCATGTTGAACGAGGCACCATACCAATATATGTTATGCAGCTGTGTACACTATGTATCATGATCTTCTTATTTCACATTACCAATTTTTAAGAAGAAAATACATAAGTTTTTACATAAGGTTAGATAAAACACATGACAGTCTTGTATAATTATTTAAAGTAAAATATGAAATATGTCAGTTAAATATCAGTCTACAGTGTGACTACACTTTATCATTAAAGTACTTTCATTGCATACAACATACATTCACAGTGATAAGGTGCATGATGATACAGAAATTAAAAAAATCTCAAACATGACAGTGATATACATGTAGCTTGTACAAGAGAAATTAATGATGACGAAAGGGTAACTTAAAATACAATATGGATATGATATGATTTTTTTGGACTCTGAAAATGAAAAAAAAATATGGCTGAATTGGTAACATTGGATCCAATAATGATTTATATTGGAAAGTCACATGGTAGAAATTCTGGAAGTTCATTAGTTACTGTGTTGAAGGTGTGAAATGGATATTTTAAATTTTATCCTCCACAGCTATAACAAAAAGTTTATAATTTATAAGAGAATTTGGTGTTAACTTTATGAATAACAGGATATTGTAAAACAAGTGCATGTATACATATTAGGTAAGCCCTGGCTGGTTTATGAAAATCTAGATTTCTTTTGAAATTTTATTTAAAAAATAAAAACAGGAGAGTCTTAAAATCACAAAACTTCAATTTAAAATTGTCTATTGTTAATTCTAGGCTGATTTGAACCGGAAGTATCGCATGCATGACAGGATGGAGCGTGTTTCTTCCGGACCATTTGTGCTTTCAAGAAGTGTATTCAACCGTATGAAGTTGACGAGAGGTCGTTATTGTGTTATTCCTTCAACGTTTGACCCTGGACAAACTGGAGACTATGTTTTGAGACTGTATGCTAGTAACAACCTAAATTTGATGTAAGTTCACCGTTACATTACCAAAGACAGTGGTATCTTCTGGTTTGAAATTTGGTGTTGGCTGCATTATTTGCTACTTTTTATGCCCTCGCACACCAGGGGCATATATATTTGCTCCATACCTTCTGCTTACTATTTGTACATATATCCTGAAAATCCTTAACTGTTTTATTTTTTACTTGAATGAGATATTTCACATGATTATGAGTTTAAGCTTCTTTATTTGACAGGTATTAATAGAGTTATGGCCCTTGTCTGAGTCAATTAAAACGTAAGAATATGATGTTGAACATGTTTGCTTTAGGTTTTACAAGGTTTATTGAACCAGTTACAAGTTTTCTTATTTCTCTTTGCTATTTTTCATACCAACTGAAGCTTTGTAAGTCTTGAAAAACTGTATTGGTTCATAAATATTTTTTATCATCTATTAATAAATCAAACAGTTCCCTAGGATTGTCAAAATTGCTTTAATTAAACTGTCAAAATGTCGTATAACCACCAACTACCCTGTAAAAGACAAAACAAAAAATAATTTGGATTATTTCAGTGAACTTATACATGATGAGCCACAGCCAGGTTCTTGTTGTGGTTTTGCTATGAAGAGGTCAAAGATTGCAGCCACTCAAATAACACTAGTGAAAGCAGATGGACTTGAGGCTCAAGACAAAGGTTCTAGTAAGTACAGCTGACATTTCCTGGCGAGGCTTTCACTAATTTAGGTTGAGATTTGTCTCAGTTTGTTAGTAAGAGCCGAGCCAGGTCTTATTTTGTTTAATTTTAAGTCTGACAAGAATAAGGCTATGTCCTTTTGATTGGGCCAAGCCAGCATGTATGCTTTGTTGGCTCTATTGAAGTATTTTGTCAGTTATATCTCTAAACTGGCAATAAACTCTTCCAAATTCATTGTAGGACTGGTTCATTTATAAAACTTGAGGGGTAAAATTTTATTGCCATATATACATGGATATTTTGGAGTTGTTTTCTTTTCCAACTATTTCATCTAGCACTGCTATAGCATGGGACCAGCATTGTGATTAAATCTTATCAAGGGCTTTAATTGTATTTTATAAGAAAGATATAATCCATTAATGTTTAGAAGGTTAGTGGTTCTTTTCTATGTACCTACATTTGCCAGAAACAATACAAAGAGAAGCATCAATCTGTTTCCTCCACCAATAAAGAGGGATACATTGTTACTATTACAAGTTTTGTCAAGTTGTGTGATACCAAACCCAAACAAGCAAAACATTATTTTGTAATATCTTATTGAGTGAAAACTTTAAAATGTCTTAGGCCACTTCTTTTTTTTTTCTTGGTTTACAAATTTTTTTTTCAAAAATGTCCACTGGGTGGTCGAAAAAAAAAAAAAAAAAAAAACCTCAAAAAGGTCCATCGGGTATATTGTAAAAAAAAAAAAAATCTGGTATGGTGCACATAAAACACTATTTTGTCAAAAATAGTGTCATTCTTCTATTGACATAAGCAAAAACAGTAATTTAAACATCTTTTTATTGTTGTTTTTCCTTAGTAGCCTATAGCTTTCATGTTAACTTTCTTGATACAAATGTACCAAAAATATCTTCCATCTTTAGAAAATACTGGGCTAGCTCTTTAGAACGACATGGCCAAAGTGTCTGGAACGTTTGCTTGTTATAAAGCAGCACTTCTCCCGGTTTATACTGATCGGATGTGTGTCCGAACCTGTCCCGGCTGAGCATTTCGACGAAAAGAAAAATACAATTTAACAATATACTAGCAAATATATCGTAAATCAAACCATTAAATCTTCTCGAGGAAGGATACGGCTTATAGCCGTGCCGATGTCCTCATCAACGGCAGCCTTTAAAAAACCCTGTCTGGTTGGCAAATCTTTAATTCCAACAAAATCAACTTGGAAATAAACAGTGCCGCTCAAGGGCGCCGCTATGTTGTTTTACCATGAACTGTGGTAGTTATCCGAGGTAGTCCGAATGTTGTGTTATATAGATTCGTACTCAAAAATATTCGAATTTTCGTACTCATATTTATCGCGCTTATCGGATAATTTTTTTTGCATCGGGGGAAAAAAAAGTGGAAATTTCAGTTTTATTTTTTTTCCAATTTACAAATATTTCGGGTCGCCGGTTTTGTAAACCAAGAAATATAAAAGAAGTGGCCTTAGAGGGCTAGCTTTCCAGTGATTGTGTAAATAAAACATATTTATTTAAGCTGGATTGTGAAACAAGTTCTTGCAACTTATATTAATCGCTTTCAAATCCACTTCCTGGAACCAATAAGTACTGGTGTCATATGAAGAAACATGGTCGTGGCCGAATAAGTGCTTGAACCTGTAATATAAAGTACAATGTTAGTGGTTTTCTTATCTAAAAAAGATGTTTTACTTTAATGTATAAAGATTAAAAGTCAACATGATTATGACCTTATCTTTTGTATTAAGACATTCCATGTGAGACATATCTATTTCAGCTGCAGACCCATACTGTGTTGTGAAATATGAGGGTAGAACTTTACAGAATTACCACAAGGAAGATACCTTAAACCCTGAATGGAATGATCGTTTCACACTTTACAGAAAGAAACCTAACCAGGATGTTATTATTGAGGTTAGTTTATGTATACATTGCTTTTAACACTTAAAGCTGCATGTGTCCAAAATATTTGAAGACTATAAATTTTGTGAAAAATGTACAAAGATTTTAAGAAAGGTACAAAGATTCAAGTTATAGTTTTGTATGCTCTGTGCAATAAATGACTGCAGTATTCATCGCTGTATTTCTACTGTGTGACTTACACAGTTAGGGGCCATTACTGCATATTTATACCCCTGCACAACAAAGTTGTAAGGGGGGTATACTGGAATCGCTGGCCTGCCATTGGTTTTTCCTTGTCCGCTAAATTACTTAAGATTCCTTTGCCCTACAGTCTTCAAATTTGGTATTGAAATTAGTCATGCTTATAAGATGACCCATATTGATTTTGAGGTCATTTGGTTTAAGTGCAAGGTCACAGGGGCAAAGCTTGTCAGCTCAATTGCTTTAGAATGCTTTGATCAACAGTCTTTATACTTGGTATTGCGGTTGGTTATGACTATTAGATTACCACTATTGATTCTGAGGTCACTAGGTCAAAGGTCAAGGTCAGGAGAGCCTTAAAAAAGCTTGATTGCCCAATAACTTAAGAATCGTTGACTCACAGTCTTCATATTTTGCATGGTGGTTAGTAATGACCATTAGATGACCTGAATTGATTTTGAAGTCACTGGATTATACATGTTATAGGTCAAGGTCACAGGGGCCTTGACTTCAAAAAGATTGTACGCCCAATAACATATGAATCCTTTGACCCACAGTCTTCCTATTTTGCAATTACCAATTTCTCCACAATTGACAAACTACTCATTCCACATAATTTTGTCCTTATCAGTCCTGAGAGACAGGACTGTTGATCATTAGACACAAAGTCTAGGATCAATTGTCATGGAGAAATTACACCTCATCCGAGGATCAAACCAGAGATACCTTGATTTCTAATTCAATGTTATCCATATTTACCTTATTGGTCAGCAAGCACACAATTGGTTAAAGCCAATAGATCAATTTGTAACATACAAAAATTACAATTTCCTTTTAACAGGTTTGGAACCACAACATATTTAAGGATCAGTTTATGGGCTTCGCCACACTTCCCATGGACAACCCTCATCAGTATACAGGTGGCAACATAATCAAGAGATATAACCTTGCAGCCAAAGGTAAAGAAGGGCTAATCTCCAAACCAGGTGGTCTCTGGCTCAAAGTCTTTCACACAGATAACATGTCCATTGTGTAAAAATTTAACAATATGTGATATTTGTAAAATCAAGTAGTCTGATGGTTCAGCACTTGTTAATTTTTATAACTTTGCATTTTTGAAATATGACAATTCAGCATTTTTAATATCCTACAACTCGGCACCCTTAAAATTTGGTGAATTGATATCCATTTCAGCACATTTTAATTTTTTATGATATTGATTGATGCATGTGCTCTGATTTGAAAACGGATAATGTAGACATCAAAAATAAAAAAAAACAGAGTTTTGATAAGTTAATTATTATATCAGAACATATTTATATGAATTTATGGGACAATTTTGTTTCTTCTTAAACATTTTTCATGTTTATGTTACAATATAATCTCTGCAGAGAAACACCCTTTTGGAGACAAAAAAACATTTTGGTTGTTGTTTAGAGGTATTCTAGTAAGGTTAATTTAAATATACTGAAATTTGACTACGGGAGGAAATGATACTGTTGTTGTAACAAAGTAATTGTTATACAGAGGGTCACAGTGCAGAGATTACACTGTATTAATAATTACAATACTGTTACACTTAACAAGATATATGTTAGTATGATGTATGTTGATTGTTCTATTTTATAAGTATCAGAATTTGTAATGAAAAGTCAGCAATTTTATACTCACAAAATAGATTTATATGTTGATTGTTCTATTTTTATAGGTATAGAATTTGTGATGTAAAGTTAGCAATTTTATTCCCACAAAAAAGATATATTTGTTGATTGTTCTTTTTCTTTAAGTATCAGAATTTTTAATTAAAAGTCAGCAATTTTACACCCACAAATGCAACATTTTATGGTTTAGTGTTAATTATTCAATGCCTTATAATTTAATTATGCAACAATTCTCTCCTCATAGTCATAAATGTTACCATTTTATCAGCATGCTTATAGAAATAGAAGCATAAGGATATGCATGTGTGAAAGTTACGCAATGAGGTCAAAGATATAATCATCAAGTCTTGAGTTATATATTTATAAATATCTCAAAAAATGCTCATTCAAAAAAATATTTCAGAGCTGTCTTTTACTTCACTTTAATCATTATTACGCCATGTTTGGTGTTCTACACAAAGATAAATGTAATTAGTCCCCTACCGGTTTACCGGAGGGGACTTTAGGTTTACCCTCCGTCCGTCTGTCCGTCCGTCCGTCCGTCCGTCCACAAAACTGGATCCCGCGATAACGCAAAAAGTACTGAAAATATTTTAATGAAACTTGATATATGGCAGTATGGAGATTATGCACGTCTTTTTCTTTTCTTCCTATATTGAAAATTCTGGTTGCTATGGTAACAAATAGACTGAAAATATGGCAAATTTTACACATAACCTGGATCCAGCGATAACGCAAAAAGTACTGAAAATATGTTTATGAAACTTAACATATGGATAGATGGCAGTATGGAGATTATGCACGTCTTTTTCTTTTTTTCCTATGCTGAAAATTCTGGTTGCTATGGCAACAAATAGACTGAATTTCAAGATTTCTGATTCTAGTTTTTAAGTTTTTTCACTTTAAGTTCTTTATTTCTTAAGGTATTTACTTCAAACTTTAAATATAAGTTGCTAGTCATCAACCACATCATATGTGACAAGGTTTACAACTCTAGGACAAAATTTATCAGAATTACCTCCCTTGAACTTAAAATTTTCATGAAAAAATATTGTTTTTTTTTTTAAAAACTTCTTTTTTTCTGAATGTATCTACTTCAATCTTAATATAAATGTTTCTTATTATCACTCAACTTTTGTGAGAAAGTTCAATACTCTAGCAAGACTATTTCCAGAATTATGCCCCTTTTGAACTTTGAGAAATTGGTAATTTTTACTCCAACTTCTTCAATCATGATAGGATTTTCTTCAAACTCCCACATCATAATAATAATTATGACAAGGTTTATAAATCTAGCATCCATATTTCCAGAATAATCTCCTTCTTAAACTTTTAATTTTTCCTATTTGTTCTTTTAACTTCCATTTACTTCATATTCAAAATAAACATTCATTATTCATACCTTCATTACTAATTGTTCTTTGTTACACTCACATCATGTATGACATCTTGCATCTTTATTTCAAGAGTTATCTCCTTTTTAAAAATTTTGCTTTTAAAAATGTTATATTTTGATAACAGGGATGTTAAAAAAATAACTTTAGAGTGTCCTTCAGTCCGTCTGTCTGTCTGTACATAAAAACTGTTTCCTGTGATCACTTTTAAAGAACTTTTTCAATAAATTTACTTAAAATAGAAACATAAGTGAATGGCCAATGGCCCTTCAGAATGTTGCTGGGGTTCTAACCGGTAGGGGACTTATGGATTGCTTGCAATACTATGATAATTGCTTGTTTTGTTTACCTTTAAGCATGTCATAGATTACTATCATTTTGTCATCTCACTTTATTTGTATGTATGCAGACCCTTATCTTAGCACAGACTCTAATATCAAATAAATGCTGTTTACATATTAAGCAACTTGTGGCCTTTATGATTGTTCTAATTTCTAAAATTGTAAATTTAAAAGTGTACAGTCTATACAGTACAGCGGCCTATTGACAGGAAAATACGTTACCATCTTGGTGTTTAAAACCTTCATTTTTTTAACAATTACTCACTCTGCTTTGTTAATAGGCTCTCAGTATGTACACACATAATCTCAAGCATGTGTAAGGCCTTCATTCCTTACACACATAACCGTCTCTTGTTGTAATTGCCCTAGCACTATTTCTACAAGAATGCACCGTTTTTTTAGCTTGACTATTCAAAGATGTTCACCCCTATGTTAATGCCACACTTTGGTAAGTTGGTATCCAGAAAACTACTGCAATTAGTTCACATTTGTGTTCTGTAATTATCTAGCATGATGGGCACAGATCCCATAATGCTGCTTTTTACAGTTATGCCCCTTTTCTTACTGACAAGCACTTAGAATAGTCGAGCTCTCTCTCGTATGGACCGCTCTTGTTTTATGTAATACTTTTGTATATTGTAATTAGGATTTTATCTCATATATATAATTATCCAGTTGTGCCTATATATAATTATCCAGTTGTGCCAATAGAATTACATGCATTTTATGACTAGTTATTTTCTAATATTGTTGTTATATCAATGATTTATTTGTCAGATGTATAATAAAACTTAAAGAACAAATAGCAATGCTCAAAATATAGAGAGAAATATCTCACTAACCATTGATTCTTTAATCATATCTCATATTGCCAATTATATATCAGTTATTGTTCCTCTACAGTTATCTCTGTGTTATAGAATATTGATGCAGAACTAACTCTGTTATACTGCTGAAGTTATAACTATTAAAGGGTCAATGTTCTATAACTGTGATTGAATTAATTATAACTATTAAAGGGTCAATGTTCTGTAACTGTGATTGAATTTATGTCATAACTGTAAAATATTGATGCTATAACTGTTATAGAATTGATGTGATATCTGTTATAGAACTGACACTGTAACTATCTAAATTGATTTTATGATTATTTTTATTGTTAAGAATTGACTGTGCAGCTGTCTACAAAATTGATATTTTAATTGTTAAGAATTGACACTGTAACTCAAATGATATTTTAATTGTTAAGAATTGACACTGTAACTCAAATGATATTTTTATTGTAAAGAATTGACACTGTAATTCAAATGATATTTTTATTGTTAAGAATTGACACTGTAACTCAAATGATATTTTAAATGTTAAGAATTGACACTGTAACTCAAATGATATTTTAGTTGTTAACAATTGACACTGTAGTTCAATTGATATTGTAATTGTTAGGGGAACTGTAACTCAAATGATATTTTAATTGTTAAGAATTGACACTGTAACTCAAATGATATTTTAATTGTTAAGAATTGACACTGTAACTCAAATGATATTTTAATTGTTAAGAATTGACACTGTAACTCAAATGATATTTTAATTGTTAAGAATTGACACTGTAACTCAAATGATATTTTAATTGTTAAGAATTGACACTGTAACTCAAATGATATTTTTATTGTTAAGAATTGACACTGTAACTCAATTGATATTTTTATTGTTAAGATTTGACACTGTAACTCAATTGATATAATTGACACTGTAACTCTTTAAAAGTGATGTTTAAACTGTTACAGTATGAATGCTATAATTGTATAGACGTAATACTATGAATATGTCACACAATTTATGCTATAACTATTCTTGAATTCATGCTTTAACTATATAGAATTGACACTGGTGTTTAATAACTATACAAAAATGATACTATAACTAACTAGAATTGATGTTATATTTGTTATAACAATTTAGTCTTGTTGTTATGTAAGGGAATATTACATTTTGTTTTCTATTATAATTATATAGTTCAAGCATGTTAGGTAAGAGATACTTTTGTTAAAATTTTCACAAGACTTGGCCGTAAGAATAAGAAAACAGTTTCAAAGTTTCGTGTCATGGTCACTAAGAATAGCTAAAATGTATACAGACTTTACAGGGACTCCACTTCGGTGTTGTTGTTTTTTTTTGACAAATGGGGAAGGAAATTTATTTCCGAGATTTGATAAAGGTTCGGACCAGTAAGTTGTGCTTTTCACTGAAATCTGGCTTAGAATCACAGCAAAAATTGAAACTCAATTTAATACTGAGTACAACTTTACTATCTCTTGCAGATTTCCGTTTTAAGTCCTTCACTTGATCTGTGTTAGGATTTTATGTTTTAGGCTTTTTTGCCAAAGTGGTGCTCCTTAAACTTAAAATATCAGTGGAAGTTAACCGTATTTTTAAAACATGAAAATAAATGTTTGCTTTTCCTTTTAAACAAATTGCATAATTATGATTCTGTAATTATCTAATATTAACAATTTATACATGTTAATGTATAAATCATTTCCAATTTAGCCAAATTATTTCAAATTTCAAAACCAAATTTGAGAAAAATGAACTACGATTTTAAAGGAAAGAAAAAACATTGAAGATTCATGTAATAGTGTGATTAATTACTGATTTTACAGTATATATGACCATGTTGCTACTGCATCACTAACACAGTTAGGGCTATTTCTGCATATTTTGACCACTATGTTAATTTACATGGATTGTAAGTGCTGTTGTTGCAATTTGTAAATTACATTCTCTGTTCACTTCACATTATTTTACTCTTAAAAAACGATTTCAAAATCTTCATAAGTCTGGAGGCATGCTGTAAATTTTCACTTTCATAATTGAAGATGTATTTTGCTACATTAAAATATAGTCATAAGTATAATGATATTAAAACAAAGTGCCTCAGTCCTTAAATGCTGATATACATGTATATATATATATTATATTTTTGTAATACTTTGATAATTAAATGCATGTTAATTTTGCTTAGTTTTAGTATCTAGATTGAAAAAAAAAAACATAATTGCTTTATACATTTATTTACATGTACATGTATTTGTAAATCATAATTTATTGCTTTTTACATTGATTTATTTGTAAACATCAGTCATTTTCAGTCCGACTATATAAAGAATAGGGAGAGCTTTGAATGTACTCAGATAGGGAGATCGAGCTTTAAATGTACTCAGATATGGAGAGCTTTAAATGTACTCAGATAGGGAGAGCTTTAAAATTAATGTACTCAAATAGGGAGAGCTTTAAATGTACTCAAATAGGGAGAGCTTTAAATGTACTCAAATAGGGAGAGCTTTAAATGTACTCAAATAGGGAGAGCTTTAAATGTACTCAGTCGTCGTTGTCATCGCCATCACACTTTGGTTGAGTTTTTACTATGATATGGTTTGAATCTAATCACACATATGTTCTCTGTGATTATTTAATTTTACCCATGAAATATGGTGCTATATTAGTCAAATATATTTCATATTTTTTAAAAATAAATATGAAATATAAATATGAAAGTGGGCGGAGTCAAAACTCATATTTATTTTAAGGGACTTCTTTCGCCGTTTTGTTTGAAAAATCTGATGAATACAAAACAAATTTTTCTTGAATATTGTTTTGAAAACTATCTAGCATGATAGAAAATGGTCTAACTAAGAAAATTAATCCGAACACCAATATCTTTAAGTCAATA